TAGCCCAGTAGCTCACTCACGCACAGGGGCCATAGCTACCTAGGTGAAAATGAAATGCTGCTGGGATGCATGGCAGGGTGATCGAGTGCATATATTATTGCTAACCAATCTCCTGTGTCCTGTGGCATAACAATATACCATGCATCACATATTCTTACTCATGGCGGTCAACAAGTCCTCGTCATCGTCACAGGACTAGTCGAGAATGCAATGAGCAATAATTAAAAAAAAAAGAAACCCCAAAAAACAGCGTCCTGAGAGTCCTAAAGTCGGCAGGGCAGCGATGGACATGACACTCGGATTTCAACGCCGACCGGCATTGCACCAACCGCGACGTTTACACCTGGTACCGGCCGGCGAGTAAGTGACTCACATTCTCGATCGATTAGTTGAAGGATCACTCTCAAAAGGAATTTACTTGTAGTTTCAATACGAGCAGATATTCGGGTGAGTATTGGAGCAGTCGGGCCCGTGCTGTAGCCACCAAATATGGCATTTCTTCAAGCCAAATATCGCAGGCCCAGCAGGGCTACATAACTCTGGATTGATTATAGGTGTAGTGCAGAAGCAGGGTACACATTCAGATGGCTGTTACGGACGCTATCGCCGCTGCTGTCCAGGGCCAGCGCGTTAGATTAGCTAGCGCCGCTGCTGTCCAGTGCGTTATATTAGTAGCCCCTCAATTCCAAGTTTTGAAGTCAAAACGACCTAGGAGTACAATTTAAAATGGGGGGATCGCTACGTTGTGGCGTCATTTTTTTGAACCCTGAGGAGAAATCAGAATTTCAGTACAAAGGCTGGAGCTACGACTGAAGACGAAGCTGAGCCTGGCCTGGTTGTCCAGACGTAAGGGGTGATCTCCGGACGCCGTGGATGCCACCGGCCAAACCTCCAGATATTGCAGGTGGCCAGCTCGGCCTGACACCTGACTTGTGTCTGCAAGTACTTCAGCTGACAAGTTCCCGCGGACCGCTAACTGAATCAAATCCTTTCCCTGAACAAAGTGCATATGATACCTCCTCAGTCCTGACGATTTCATTTGGTAGCTTACTTAATTACGGCCTTGTTTAAATTTAAGGTGTAAAGTTTTAGGTTACAGAATTCATCAGTAATCCACGAGATAAATTTATTAAGACTAATTAACCCGGCATTAACACATGTGTTACTGTAGCACAACATTGTCAAATCATGGACTAATTAGGCTTAAAAGTTTTATCTCGTAAATTAATCACAAACTATGTGCAATTAGTTATTTTTTAGTCTATATTTAATACTCCATACATGTGTTCAAACATTTGATGGGATAGAGAGTAAACTCTAAGGGGAGGAACTAAGCAAGCCCTAACAAATTGCTCCTGACAGCCCAGAGCTGCATGAAACTTCAAGCAGACCCTCTGTCTGACCATTGTAGCCAACAACCCAACAACATGCAAGTCCGATAGTAGAATCAGAAAAAAAAAACCCTCAAAATAAGAGGGGCGAAGAACATCCCAGAAGCGCACCACCAGAAACACTTCAAGATCAGTGATATAGCTGGACATTTTCTAACAGTGGCCACAGCACACGTCTCAGTTGGAACATCGGAAGGACAACAGCCAAATTGTGGTTACACACCGAGAGGTATCATGTGCCACAAGTGTTCAGCATAGCACATGCTTTTATTCAAAACGAAAAGCATGGTACAAACACTATTACATCAAGCGCCACGGCTTCCGTGGACCATACACCCACCATGCCCTGGTGCGCCATGCCCCGGTGCGTAGCACCGGGTTCTACCAAATACATAAGATTGAACCAGTGTCATTTTACCAGCTGTGAGCACACCATCCGAAGATGCTTGGGGGGATTCATTATTGCAGGGCTCCCTAGCTGTCTATATCTACAATCATCAGAGGAGGTTCACAGCCCCGAGCTTCCTCTTCGGTAGGAGCCTACACAACAAAAACAGTGAGGCCCCAGATTAGAGATAATATTCATATATGGTTATTGGTGCATCTCAACTACCGTTTCAGAATGTTCTTTTTATAACAGGGAGCCACTTCAGAACATTAGCTAAAAAACTAACTCTTGACACTGTAGGCATATATTGAGTTGAGGGCCAAGTGTTTTGGGACAGATTTAAGCATGGTAGCAATGGCAAGGCCTGAAATGCAGCCCAAGGATACAAAATAAAGCGAACATAAAATGCTTCCTTGATGAAAGCGAATCAACTTACCCCAGGTGAAGCAGCAAAGGATTAGCTTTCATCATCGTCAGTTTGAGTAGCATCTTTCATTGATTTCTTCACTGGACGTGGGAATTTTCCTTTGAACAACATTAACTATTTAGACTAACAAGTAACAGACAATGACAACAGCAGAGCAAGAAGAGCGAGATGTCAAACAATCAAATTCTAGAATAAGAAATATCATGTCTGTCTCAGCGCAGAACCAAAGGTCCTGACTCCTGATAGCTAGCCAAACTGAAAGAAAAGGAAGGTTTTGTTTTATCCAGCTTAAGTAATCAGGATAAGCTTAGAAGTCTACACTCTACAAACCAAAACAATATAGTTTTTTTTTTTTTCAAATCAAAATATGTATATATATTTGAGTGTTTGACAGACAACCAGATACAAGACTTCATACTTGTTAGATATAGCCAAAAAACTGTCAATTGCTGACAAACAAAACCATCAGTGAACTATAACCCAATCCCAGGTCTTATATGCAACATGAACTCACCACCCACCAACCTAATTCTGCATGCAACATGAACTAACCACCAAGACAAATCCAATACAATGAAACATGGTTTCAACTCACCGCACATACTACTGAAATTGTGACCTTCCTTACCAAAAATATTTCTGCCGCTGGACACTTCGGAGCCTAAGGAGACCAAAAACTCTGACCTCCTGTACATTTGTGAAAAATTGACCAGACACAAAAACAATCAACTAAACATCTAGATCTCGTTTATCAACTGTCCACCATCAAGCTATAAGCCAACCATTTTTTCTTCAATCCTCATTTAAACGCAGCAACCAGCAAACGTCAAAATTCTCCAAACTAAGAGATATTTAAAGTCCACATCTTGCCTTGTTGCCAGTAACATGACAAATCAAATACGAAGATGAATGTTTATGCTAGCAGTTTAGCGCAGCATGGCCGGAATTTTTACTGAATCAACAAGTGCCGAAAGGAATAGTATGTGCCTTATTTACAATGCTTTCAATTCCCGAAACGATTCTGCTTCAATAGCACATCTAACGAAATACTTTAATGCATAATTGGATGCAAAAGTTTTGCTTCACAGAAATTTGTGACGAACTGGGGACATCATAAATTAACTCTGTACGGAAAGCATAGACAACTACAGAACCATGGTATCATGTATACTGATAGCAAAGAAGTTTTCAACTTAACAGGGGTAGGGGAGGGAATAATTGTAGGATGACACATAAGAAAGGGAATAACATGCAAAAAGAACATGCCAACATGGTGAGTGATAACTAGCTGTTGCTTCTGCCTTGCTATATCTCAGAAACTAGGCCACTGACAACACAAAAAACAATGGCTTTGCAATCTATCAGAACTAAATGGCATTACCAAATACCTTAAGGAATGACATATATTCTGAGTGAAATAGATACATAACCAATCTCCATCCAAATTTCATCAGGATTGATATGACAAGCGGCATGGTTATTAAAAAAATGCAATTCTATCGTCTGATCTTACAACTTTACAATCTTGTTGATCATGTTGATTTTACGATTCTATTTGGTATGATCTATGATTTTGCGATTCCATTAGCTGTGATCCTATGATTTACAATCCTACCATTTGAGTTCCAATGCCATTTAGGATCGCTATTTTGACAACCTTATATGCCAACTACCTACATGGACAATTCATCAGAGCATTCACATGTTTACAAAATAATATATTAAAATTCTAAGAACCTGCTATGGAGCACATAACCCACCATAGTTACAGGAGTCAAAGGCACATTGCTTTGCAGTACAGGCATTGTTTGGACTCACGTTAAGTCATCAACAAACACAGGTTTCACCATCAGGTGAAGTTAAGCCAGAAAACATACTCCTTTACATCAGCATACGTTCCGAAACATTTCAACTTCATTCGTGCAGACAATGAACCAATAAATTCTAGACTTATTACATCCCCATATCTACATGGTAAAAACCGTTTGGAAAACAAGAAACAAGATATGCTTTGAAGGAAAGACTGTGAACAACCCTATTGAAATTGTATGCTATGCTTGTTCTCTTATGCGATACTGGGCAGGTCTATATGCGAAGGGAGATAAAGAGAGGTTGGTGGAAGGCATGAACGTCATGCTCAAGATTGCCATGAAGCTCATCAGCAAGACAAAGGCGCCTGGTGACACAATGATGCAGATTTAGGATGCGGATCGTCGGGAGGATGATGAGCAAGACCCTAGTAACTAAACTGGAAAGAAAGACGTGTCAGGCTGGGGCGCATTAACCCATTTTGCTTCTTTTGGCGTAGTCTGGTCTGTTTGTTCTGTAAAGTCTGGCTGGTTGAATTGTCATTTTTTTTTCTGTTTTAACTTTGGCGTAGGTTTGTTCCCTTATTCCTGTTAGTCAGGCTGAATCAGCTTGGCTGAGTAGGAAGAAAACAAGAAGGGCAAGCAGGGTGGTCTGTCTGTATCTTTTGCTTCCTGAACATCTCTAACGATGCTGCATTTCCGTTACTTGTTAAGGGAAATGGGGAATGCCTGAAATAAAATGGTAATAAAACCAAAACGAACCAATTATACGTCCACGTGGACCTGAAGTGATGTTTCTAACTTATGCATCAATCCAATGTAAACACCGCATTTAGCTAGCCATGTAAAGATAAAAGCACAAAGAATTTCAGGCACAACTTCCAAACTTCCCGCACAAGAGTACCGAGTTACCTATGATTCGGTGACAAATAAAAAATATGCAACCCTAACACATCATCATTTCGCAACCCCAATGAAATGCTAGCCTAATCCACCTCACCTCCCACAAAGTACGCCGAGGATGGCCACCCCCGCACGGTAGTGAAGCTCAACGCCTCCTCCTCCGTCATCGCCGCGTCGCCCCTCGCGGTGTACAAAGCCGCGCCGAGGAGGTTCGCCACCCCGAGCGGCCGCGGCAACGGCGGGACCCAGTAGGATGCCCCCGGCACGAAGGGGAGCCATTCAGGAGCCGCCCGGCGCACGAGCACCCCATGGATGGCGTCCTCCAGGCGCCGCGACCCCATCTGCGCCTGAGCCGTGGCGGAGTCGCCCGCGCCTCCCCCTCCGGATGAAGAGGTAGGGGACTCCTCGGAGAGATCGATCTCGACGAAGTCCACCTTGTCCGACAGCGCACGGGAGGGGCAGAAGCGGAGGGCGGATGGCGCCGCCGAGGGGCGGGCCAGCGTAAGGGCTCGCGCCGCCAGCAGACGAGCCATGGATGCCGGACGGTCGAAGGATTTCGATGGGCGCCTATGGAAGGGTCGAGAGGGGCCGCGAGAGGGGCAGTCGAAAGCCAAGCACAGGCTAAAAGGGTCAAATTAAAAAAAAAAAAGAAAAACATCCGGACTTCAGCAGTTGCAGTTCACCCCCTGCTTTTTCTTCTGCCTTGCAAGTTGCACCGCGTTCGCTCTCCGTGTCTCCCTCTCGCGTGCGGCAGCCAGGCGAACCGCCGGCGTCCTAGCTAGGTGCCCAGGCCTTCGTCGATCCCTTCGGCAGGCCATCGTCGGGGACTGCACACGCAGCCACCACCAGGTATGCGGATCCTTACTCTTCCATTCCTGCTGTGCGAAACCGAGAACCCAAACCCTAACTTGAGCTATTTAGCTAATTGTATCCGGATCTGATCAAATTACAAGCCTATGCATGTGCACTAGCTTCGATTTTTTGCAAAAATTATTGGGTTGTACAATCATGTCCCTTACTGGGTCCGCCCCTGATCGAGGCCAGTAGCATCTTTTGTTCCTTTTAAAAGTCTCCTCTAATCTGTGCTGCCTCCTGATGGTGATGATATTACTGCTGTTGTTGCTGGTGATGATAATCCAGATGGCCGCGCCGAATGGTCCTGCTGCTTCTCCGATGGTGTACCCTGTCTACCTTACCGGAGCATTCCCCCAGCAACCCGGGGATGATCAGGCTCAAGGTCCGGGGATATATGCCATACAACAGAACCAATTAGGGGCGGCGATGGGAATGGGGTGCTTTGCTCAAACCACACTCATTCCCCTCACGTACAAGATCCCAACGTAAGTTATTACCTTTTGGTACTGAACAATCTGCTACATCTGCCTATTTTATACCATAATTGAATAGGTGAGATCTGCTTGCATGCCATTGCAGTAATCATCATAAGTCACTTGATGCAAGTGATATACGCAGTCATAGAATTGTGCTGTTGAAAACCTTGGGCACATTTGGGTGGCTGTACGGAACTAGTGTGATGAGGGGTTCAGAGTAGATATGTTGTGATCCAGGTGCTTTTTACGTCGGGCCTTGGTACAAATTTTCTGAGCAAAAGCATGCTCAGCAGCAGCAGTATACAGTATAATCTTACTTTAAGGATGACGATATCCTTAGATCTTCATTTGAATTATAGAACAACAACAACAACATAGCCTTTCAGTCTCAAGCAAGTTGGGGTAGGCTAGAGTTGAAACCCACCAAGAGCCTCAAGTCACGGTTTAGGCACTTCAATAGCTGCTTTCAAGCATTCCTATTCAAACACAGATCTCTAGGTATATCCTAAGCTTTCAAATCTCTTTTTATTGCCTCCCCCCATCTCAATTTCGGTCTTCCTCTACCTCTCATCATATTATTAGCTTCACTTAGGACTCCACAATGCACTGGTGCCTCTGGAGGTCTCATTTGGACATGGCCAAACCACCTCAACCGATGTTGGACAAGCTTTTCTTCAATTGTTGCTACCTCTAGGCGATCACGTATATCATCGTTCCGAACTCGGTCCATTTTTGTGTGACCACAAATCCATCGCAACATACGCATTTCTGCAACACTCAGTTGTTGAACATGTCGAATCTTTGTAGGCCAACATTTTGCTTCATACAACATAGCCGGTTTAATCGCCGTTCTATAAAACTTGCCTTTTAGCTTTTGTGGTACCCTCTTGTCACAGAGAATGCCAGAAGCTTGTCGCCACTAGATCCACCCTGTTTTGATTCTATGGCTAACGTCCGCATCAATATCTCCATTCCTCTGTAGCATGGATCCCAGATACCGAAAGGTATCCTTCTTAGATACTACTTGACCTTCCAAACTCACATCTCCCTCCTACTGTGCAGCTCCGCCAAAGTCGCATATCATGTATTCGGTTTTAGTTCTGCTCAATCTAAAACCTTTAGACTCAAGGGTCTGCCGCCATAACTCTACTTTCTATTTACTCCTGCTTGGCTTTCGTCCACTAACACTTCATCATCAGCGAACAACATACACCAAGGGATATCTCCTTATATGTTCCTGGTAACCTCATCCATTACCAAGGCAAAGAGATATGGGTTTAAAGTTGACCCTTGATCAAGTCCAAATTTAATCGGGAAGTAATCTGTGTTACCATCGTTTTTTTAAACACTAGTCACAACATTGTTGTACATGTCCTTGATGAGGGTCACGTACTTTGATGGGACTTTATGTTTGTCCAAAGCCCACCACATAACATTTCTTGGTATCTTGTCATAAGCCTTCTTCAAGTCAATGAAAACCATATGGATGTCCTTCTTCTGCTCTCTAAACCGCTCCATAACTTGTCTTATTAAGAAGATTGCTTCTGTGGTTGACCTTCCGGGCATGAAACCAAATTGGTTTGTTGATATCTGCGTCGTTCCTCGCAGGCGCTGCTCGATGACTCTCCCATAACTTTATAGCGTGGCTCATCAACTTAATTCCTCGATAATTAGTATAACTTTGGATATCTCCCTTGTTCTTGTAGATTAGTACCAATATGCTTCTTCTCCACTCAGGCAGTTCGATTGAAAGATAATATTGAATATCTTGTTTAGCCATACTATAGCTATATCCCCGAGACATCTCCACACCTTGATTGGGATACCATCAGGGTCCATCGCTTTGCCCCCTTTCATCCTTTTCAAGGTTTCTCTGACCTCCGATTTTTGAATCCTCCGCACAAAGCGTCTGTTAGTGTCATCAAACGAGTCGTCCAGCTGAACGGTGGTGTTCTTGTTCTCACCATTGAACGGGCGTACCGGTCGAGCAAGCTACCCCGCTTCAGGCATGCGAGGAGACCGGTCTAGGAAGAAGGTGTCGATGGCAAGCCTTACCCTATCAAAATACTATTGCCATCTATGTGATCTCATCCTTCTTCACCAAGAGTCGCTCCATCTCATCCTTTATGCACTTGAGGTTGAAGTCCCTTGTCTTCCTATCGAGCCCTAGCCATCCTATAAATGTCCTTCGGTCTCAAGCGTTAGTAAAAGACTCTGCTTTGCTTGCACCGCTTCGTTTTGTAGTCTTCTTTGCCACCTTGTACTTCTCGTTTCTCACCATTGAACAATTTATCAAAATACTTTTGCACATCTTGCCATCTATGTCCGATCTCATCCTTCTTCATCAAGACCTCTAAAGCTTCCATCTCATCCTTTATGCACTTGTTTGATTTTCATCCTTGAAGTTCCTTGTCTTTCCTCCACCATCGTTCTAGAGCTTGTTTGTTCCCCTAGCCATCCTATAAATGTCCTTGTCTCTCCTTCCTTCACCTTACGGTCCATCATGTTCGTTTATCCTCGTTGGTAAGGAAAGGTCCTCAGTAGGCGCTACTAAAGGTCCTAAATGGGACCGTCCTACGAAAAGAAACTCACCGCTTCAAAAGCTATTTGTAGTCTTCCCTTTGCCACCTTGTACTAAGTCCCAAACAAGTTGTGCATGAAAAACAATCTTTTTGTCATGATACCTATCAAGCGCTTATAGCATCTTTCCTTTTCCTTAATAGCCTTTCACGTTACATCTTCATTCCACCACCACCAAGTGTCTTTTCATGTCAAACCATCTCAACCGGTGTTCCTTTTGTTCGCTCCAAGCTCCCGTATATCATCGTTCGAACTCGATCCCTTCTTGTATGCCCGCAAATCCAACGCAACATATACACGTATTTCCGCATGTTGCGTTGAATATTCTCTCTCGCACCATCACATTTGTTTGCATCGCCTTCATCCTTCATAGGACAAGGCTCTCTTCAATGACCTTTTAACATCTTCATCAAAGATCTTTGATGATCCTAAATATCTTCTAATTTCCACCACTCCTCCCGTTCTAGCAATCCCTAGCTTTTAGTTTTGTCTAAAACCTTTGGACTCCAAAGTCTTGCCATAACTCCAGTTTTCGATTCACTCATGTCGGCTTTCATCAAAGCACTACATCGGAAAAGTCACCAGGGACCTTGTATGTCCCTTGTGACCTCATCCATCACTAAAGCAAACAAAGCGACCACACATTCTCATCCGTGTCTATCACCGAACTCTAGTCACAACATGCATGTTCGTAATTATCCCTCCGATCGTTGGGACTTTATGGACAAAGTCGATTTGACTAGAGTCTTGGCCGCTACTAAAGGTCACTAAAAAATGTAGGTCCTTCTTCTTCCCCTCTCTCTTTGTCTTATTAAGAAAAGTGTTAGCTATCATCGCATGATCAAAAAGCTATAGAGCGAAGTCTCAAGACTCGATAACTCTCTCTCCTCTGGTTGGCTCTACTACCATATTTGTAAACCCTCATATCTCCTTTATTCTTGTAGATCGGTACCAATATACTTCTCCGAAACTCATCGTGCACTTTGATGAAAAACCTACATGGCCATTAAAATCACCTCCTATGGGATAAGATCGCCTTACCTCCTTTCATCCTTTTCAACGCCTCTCCGACCTCTATTCTTGGACAGCGCCTATTGGTGTCATCAAAAGAGCTCACCATTGAACAACAAAAAGCGATCTAAGTCTTCCTTTACCAAAATGCTCCCTTTCATCCTTAATGCACTTAACTTGGTTGAAGCTTTCTCTCGAACCCTCATCCATGACCTACATGGGGGCATCCTCGACGCTCTACCCTTTGCCACACGCACTAATTACGTTTAAGACCATATCACTAATGACAAGTTTAACTATCTAATGATCCTATCCCTTGCCTTTCTCACCTCCACCACACCATCCTTGAGGCTCTTATCAATCAAAACTCCTACTCTATTTTTATTTGAAGTTGTCCTAACCAAGCGATCTAAGTCTTTCCGGAAAAGCCGCAGTAGCACTCTCATCATGAGCTTGGAAGCTAATTACGTTTAAGACCATATCACTAATGACAAGTTTGTCCAAGATAATCTCATTTGCTTTCTCACCTCCACCTTCCATTTAGTCTCTTATCAATCAAAACTCCTATAAGATATTTACACGCCGAGCCAACCGGTTGTGTCAACTCCTTTGTCTCTCTTAACTTAGTCTCCGTAAGGGACTCTACATTTCTAACTCTCTTACCTAAACGGATCCTAGTTGGATCCTAGTTGGCTCGACTAGCTTCCTTACCCTTCGCACCCACCGAGATAGGTGTGAAGACCCTTGCTCATTTTGCACCACACCCGGGCGCCGATGTGGCGCGCCACTAAGGATGCGACGACCCGATCCTTTCTCACTTGACACCGTGTCCAGATCGCGACACGGCGCGTTAGGATCTGTTATGAGCTAGCGGCAATCTCAGGTATCTAAAAAACAGTGAATCAACTTTCACTATTGTAGCTGTTTCCATGAATTATTTGACATGCACTTCTACTCATGAAGGAACGTTCATTACTGATTAACTCAGCAACTCGATATTTGGAAGGAAAAAAAACTTACACTGTTGTAGTAGGGGGTCAAAATCAAGCGGAATAACTTCAGCTATCTCTCTTATTTATCTAGGGATGTTGTAACTTGTAGAACAGGAGCAAGGCAGAACAGAACATATAATGATGTTTACTTCAGTCCTGAAATAATAATACAATTTCCATCATTATGACAGCAGGGACTTTTGCTATAACTGACTAGTTAGTAATGGCTAATTTGATTGAGAATACCACAACACAAACACCTTTAACTTTTACTTGAATGTTGCCCAAGTGCTGTTTTTGTTGCTGCCATGCTGGAAGATAGAATGGAACTACAGCTAACATGTAAAACTTGGTTACAAATTTTGATCAGTTTAAAAAAGAAACAACTTTTGTTGCAAGAATGATGAAGCCAAATGTAGTTTGCTACTATGGGCCCAAATGTAGTTTGCTACTATGGGCTATGGCATTCCATTTTATTCTGGTTTGGTCATTGGGGAGTGGGGATACTTGGGACCAGTTCAAAGCATTATGAAGTTTTGAACTGTCCAATTGCTTGGCTATATCTGCTCTTTTGTGCTTGAAGGGAAAGCGTCGGTGGTCCTGCTGGTGAAGAGAATGTACAGGATGCTAGGCAGCAAAATGGACATCAAAGACAAGTTGTTGTGAGGAGGTTTCACTTTGCTTTTCAGCTTGACTTGGCCCTGATCATCAAACTAGCCGCAGTGGTGTTTCTCTTTAGCCAGGAAGGCTCGAAACAAAGGCTGTTTCTTCTCATACTGTTTGCCTCATTGATTTACTTGTGAGTACTTTGCTCAAATCATCTCCAATATACTTAATGCTATTTCACAGTTTACTCTTCATTACTTGTATAGCCTATATATGGTGCTGCTAGATAACCTCGTGGTTCTGTATCCTGCAGATATCAAACCGGAGCTATTACACCTTTTGTAAGATGGCTTCAGCGGGCGGGAGGTGCAGCTGCTCGTCCACCACAGGCCCCTGCTCGGGTTGAGAACCGTGCTCCTCCACCTGCCCAGAATGATGGCAATGAGCAGCCCAATGGTAGCTTCCATATACTGCTCTTTGTATTGTTTGTGCTCTATGCATGATTGTTCATCATATTGCAACACCAATTTCACTTTTTAGTATATTTTAGTCTCACCATAATATTGTAACTTTCCTTTTCACTACCATCTGCTCTTCAATGGGAGGTTCATATAAACAGCAGTAGCCCTTGCATGAAATAAAATTGTAAATGGCCACGATTAGCACCAACGAATGAGACATGTTATAGCTGTCTAATGTCTCAGGTTGATTCCTGTTTTGATGGAATGGTGTTTCATGCTTTAACAGTCAAGTTGTTTGTTGCTTTTGATTTGACTACAAGTACCAATAATGATTCATATTTCTCTTTTTCTAAGGAAGTGTTAATGCACAGTTTGCTAGTATCTAATGACTAAGTGCTTCTGCTGTTGTGGAAAATCTTGCAGGGCCTGCAAACCCTGACCAAGCTGCTGAGAACCATGAACAAGATGCTGCAGCTGGTAACGAGAATCCGCAAGAGGCAGAGGTAGAAGGAAATCAGCGCAATTGGCTTGGAGGTGTCTTGAAAGAGGTCCAGCTGGTTGTTGTGGGGTTTGTTGCATCGCTTCTTCCTGGTTTTCAGCACAATGACTAGGCCTCATCTCGTCACTGTGGAATAAGCTATCAGCAGTGATATAGTTATGGTGATACAGGGGAAATAATATATATGACGCAGCTGAAAGATTTCTGTTTATGCAAATGAATGCATATTTGATGTTAATGTTGTTTTGTTTCATGTTCAAAGACTTATTGAACAATCCTGTGACTGAATGCATACTTGCAGCTCACATGTAAAGAGTAGCCTGACACATAATCAAGTGAACAAGTATTATTTTCGTTGCAGAAATGTGGGATGCTTGCACCTGAATATAGTATCAGTCCCTTCTGCAAAATGTCTGAAATGAAGGATGTGAGTTTTTTCAAGGCTGAAACCTTGATTTATAATGTGTGACAGTAGAGCAGAAAATTTATGTCAGAGTGAAATACAATAATTATTATTTTTCTCGGTTGATTTTGTCGATCTTGGTCAGTTGCTCTCGCCGATGAATCAACTCAATAAGTGTGCAAACATTCAGCACAAAGGACTGTCTGTTTCTTTTGTTCGAAGGATAGTGATACGCTCTGAAGTATTACATCATAATTTGAAAAAAAAAAATTCTCTATGCTCGTTTTTCATCTCACTTCCTGAGTTCCTTGGGAATGTTCACAATCTTTTGACATGCATGATCTCAGCCATTCTCTTGTCAGAAGTGTGCCATTCTTTTTTGCAGAACTTCAGTTGCAGATAGCATATTCCTTGGTAAGGCTGCACGAGGTCTCTATCTTGCTTACAGCTTGAAGCACGTAGCCGCCCAGCAACCAGTAAAGCACCCAGCAGAGTATCTTCTTATTTACAAGTGTCCATGCTGTGCTGGAAACTGACAGTCATCGATCAACGAACTTGTTAAATAAACCATTTTGAGCAATTTGGGGTTCTACACGAATGAAAAGTACAATGAGTCCTTGAACACTATACCTGCAAATTTAAGCATGCGCAGTCTTCCATTTCCCAAGTCCTAGAAACAGCTGCGAATGATGATGATAAACATAAGCCTAATGGTGATACTTCTGTCCTTTTATTATAGTCCATGCCCTGCAAATTAATGCAATAGCTAACGAGTGACCGGTCACAGTTGAAAGCAAGTATTTAAATGGTAGTGTTATATTGTGCCTATCTCATACCATAGACCATACAGGATACAGCCATACAGGGGTATGCTCCACAGAAACTGTGTTAAGTGCAGAAATGGCATCAGATAGGCTAATTGCTTACCTGTAGAGCTGCTCCATTAGAACTATCAGAGCAACTTGATGGTTCAAAACTAGTGAGGACAGCCTAATTGTTGCATCTGCACGCTCTAGCACTTGTGCCCCGAGACCATATGGTCCACCAATACAAAATGTGAGCCTTGATGATCCCTATAAGATATGAAACATTATTGACTCCTTATAGACATCTTGTCATTCCTAGTTTTTTTTCAGGAGTTCAAACTTCAAATAGAAAAATTGAGATCACAGAAGTTACAAACGCAAAAATCAGTGATTAAAGAATAGCTCAGCTATGATGGACCAAGTTCCAGAGCATACTGTGTTGCCAGCATCCCCAATCAGATCAGCTATCTGCTCGGATATGACATCCTTCCCATTTTCATCCAACACAACCACCTGCCATACATGGGAACATCAGGAGACAAAAGCGACTGATAAATCATTATGCAACGAGAAAGGACAGAAAATAATAACAGAGCACATATGAGCAAGATCAAGAGGGAACTGATTAACTGAAACATACAAAATAGTCAGACTTGAGTTGCTGCATCATAGCCGTGTCTTCTGCTTCAACTTGCACCTTTACATCACTGAAGAAAGCATCAGAAAACAGTACCGAAGGAGGAAGAACCTCTGGTATTTACGATACCTGTTCTGACTTCTCTTTTTAAGTTTTATGAAAATTATGAGTCACAAGCTAGTCTAACAATATCAGGAAAATAGTACCATACAGGCATACACAAAAACATAGTATGCTAATATGTTGTATGCTGATGACGCACACATTGATATGCACACTACAGTGAATCGCCTCTATTTATGTATTGACTATCGTCTTCAAAGTTAGAGAATCAATAACGAAGTACACCTTGTAAGTTTTGGGTTGGACCTGATAAGTGTGTCCTCGAAGTCGCAATAGTAACCGAGCTTCTCCTTGTATTCTTCAACAAGGAGTTGTGTCCCCCGAGACCTCTTCTTTCCAACCGTTAACAAACGCATGGGCATTGCTTTCTGCAAACATGGAAATACAGACATCAGAATCACAAATTTGATAGAGAAAAACATCTGGCCATTGTAAAGGCTACACGGGCTATTAGGGCTGAAGCACAAGCTCTTCACTCCACAAGAGACAAGACATCTTTTTTTGCAAGCTTTTGCCTCGCGTCCATAAAATGCAGAGTATTTTTTTAGGAGAAATGAACCAAATGAATCGATGTGGCCAGTCAGCTAGAAAAGGTCAATGCGTGCACTCCTTACCACAGATTGTCCCGAGTATTTGGATCTCCTGCCTGCATGAAGGAAAAGTAAGAATCATCAATGTTAGAGATCGGAATCCTTGGCGTGTTAGGAGGATATTCAAGAACTGAACAGTGGAAAAGGCAAAGGTAACTAAGAAAATACCAAGAGCTAAGAATTCAGAAGCATAAAAAAGAAATGGAGGCATACTGAGGCCTGAGGGGGAGTGGTTCGATGGCTATGGCTTACCAAGAGAAGGGGCGCACGCGGACGCGGACGCGCCTCGATTCTTGTTGAAGGATTGCTCGGGCCCGCGCCCGCATCTGCACCGCCACAGCAAGACTGCCATCGCCCAGACGGACGGTAGGGGGGCTGGCAGAGTGACGGGAGGTCGTGGGGCGCATCCGCAGGCGTCTCGACCCGTCAGCGAGGAAGAAGAGCGGCCTACTATCCGCAAAGGCGCGTGTCTGCTCGAGACTCGAGAGGCGGCTTTCCTACGCTACTACACAGCCAACGAAATCTCCTGCAACCTCGTCCAATTCCAGCACTACCCTGACACGCTGTACGCCTGAAACCTCGCCTGGACTCTCTGGAGGCTGCGTCAATGCTTCCTGCAAATTCGTCTACAGAAGTCGAATTTCTATCTATGGTCCAAACGTGTCGTATTAATTTGTTTCATCACAGTGGTGTATCAGAATCCAAAACATCATCTTTGTATATACAACTGATATGGCAACTGTGGCGCGTGAACAGTATCCGGCAGATTTGATTAGATGGATTTGGTTTGTTTGTATCAGAATCCAAAACATCATCTTTGTATATACAACTGATATGGCAACTGTGGCGCGTGAACAGTATCCGGCAGATTTGATTAGATGGATTTGGTTTGTTTGGAAAGGAATAAGAAAGATCGATTGGGTTAGCATATTACTTAGGTCAAGTAAGTTATCTCTATAAAAGGGATCATCGTGTATCAATTAGAGCCCAGCGAGAAGAAACCTTAAGATAGTCCCCGAGGAAGAGCAGCTATCCGAGATCTCTCTGTTAATCCATCTATCTATAGTCTTTTCATAACAACACTAATGAGTGCTACATGCATTATGGACCGTCGACTAAAAAACAGTAGCTGGTTCAGACGAGCTTATTTTGATCGTCGCTTTTTACTCTATCTATGCAGCTTATCTGGAAAGCGCTTCTCAGATAAACTGTACCAAACATAGCCTAAGTCTGCAGAGAAACAGCTACAGAACCCAGATTGACTCCTGAATTTTACATGTAAAAACCCTGAATACAATATTGTACAGACGACCACATCAGTGCCACCCTTGTGCTTGTGGTCTCAACTTAAAAGCATATGCCGGTACACACATGCTGCCATTCTATCATCGTCTAAGGAAGACGAAGAGCGAGCCTCTGGATCCTTTTCCCAGCCTGATCTTCTCGTCGACATAAGTGATCTCCAGCTTGACTTCACTCTCGCCACCGTATTGAAACCCCAAGGAGCCTACCTTCAGTTCTGGGGCTTCAAATATGACCTGAATCCATTTACTGTCAAGCACATTCAGCTTACCTGCATGCCCAACATAGAAAGAACATAACAAAAAACAGATTACATAATTGCTAGATGCGCCAAAACCTGAGACATAAAACGGCTTGATAGAAAACATTTGGTTTACCTTTCAATGATACTGCACCCTCTAGGCCAAAGACGGAGAATAACACCTTGTTCCTGACTATGTCAGGTGCTTCCACCACCTGAATCATCTCATCAGTTTTGAATATCAGGCGGCCGAGAGGCGTCCGGTAAATCCCTCCTGGCGAGGTTGGCACCGAGCAGTATACAACCTCCCATTCTGGTCAATTGGACGAATAATGCAAATCAACTTAATCAGGATGGCACGAACCATGGAGAGCAAACAACAAACGTTGTAGTAGCAGCATCCATCAGATGTTAAATGCAACACATGTATGGCTTGTTAACTTGCCCTCTCATTTGCGGCAACCGGCGACCTTGGCATATGATCGATCGCAAGATGCTTTTTTTACAGTGTGTTAATTGTCTGACAGTGCCACAAGTGACAAGACCACACAGAAATGGGATTGATTGGGCATACCAAGCATTTTTTTTTACCTCCAAATATAAGCGGGGACTTGACGGGTTCGTCTATGCAGTACTTCCCCAGCTCCAGCGCGACATCAGCCACTTCCTGGTGCCCATCTTTAGCCAGCAACACTCCTCGGTCAGTTCCCTTCACCTGTCGGTCGGTAGTACCAAGCTGAGACATCGCGTTTAACATTCAAACATCATCGCAGACATGTATGTAACTATACGAATCTGAGACTCTGAAGAAACCAAGTTTCTCGCAACAAATGAACTAAAGCAAAGCAGAAGCCATGAATCTGGGAATGGGCCAGGAAGCAAGCAAGAGGCTACTGGCGTCGGTGTTACCTTGGAGAGGATGGAGCCGACGAGCTCCGGTAGCGCCCGGACACCGGGGGCGGCGGCGAGGGAGCACCGGACGGACGGGAGCCGCCGGCGGAGCGGTCGGCGGAGAGGAGCTAGTGGTGGAGTGGCGTCGGAGAAACGGAGGGCGGGGGAGGCGGCCGCAGCGGAAGCGGACATTTTCATCGTCTGCTCTTCGTGTGCGGTGGTAGCTGGTGGGGGAGATTTAACTTTTTACCGTAAATTTCTACGATACGATATGCCCTCCCGAACAAGCTGATAAAGATCGGCACCTCTCTTCAGATACAGATAGCATCTCAACGGACCAATACATTTGGGTACCCAATACATTTTTACTGGTAAAGACAAAAACAGATAAAAATTGTCACTTTTGCTCACGTGTTGCGTCAGCCCTCGCGCTAGAGCTCCCAGTCAACGAGCGTCAAATGTCTCTCCTGCCACTTGCTCTCTCCTTCTCGTCGCATGGCGTGGCTCCTCCTCCTTCGGCGGCTGCATGGTTGCTCCCCGTCACCTCACCTCTCTGCTGGTCACTGCTTGTGGGACCTGGCTGTCAGCTCCTTCTTCCTCCCTTCCCAACGAGAGCAGAGCAAGGGCACCGGCCGACAAAGGCCGCCATGCGGGGAGGCCTCCCCGTCGCCGAACGGCGCGCATGGCTTAGGCTAGCTTCGGGCCGGCGTGCTCCCTTGCTCCTGCTCCGTCCCCGCCGTGGGGATGGACAAGGGCACAAGGCTCATGTCGCGGTCGAGCTTTATGGCGGCTCGGATCGGCTCGACGCGACGCGACCGAGGGTGGGCGAGGATGCGGCTTGGACGCGGCATCGACCAGCGATGTCGGTGGCAAAGCGCGGCCGTGGCGAAGCTCTCCAGGTGTGAGCGGCGGCCACGGCGAAGCCCGCCGGCACGCGGGGCAAGCCACGGCGAAGCTCGACAAAGGGCACGCGCGGGGCCGCGACGAAGCTCCACCGGACGCGACGCAGGGCGGCGGTCGCGGACAGCCACGAACGCACCCGAGGACGAAGAAGCACGGAGAGGCGGACTTCCGACCCAGCGCGCACCAGACCCTGCGCAGTCTTCGTCCCGCCCGTGACCCGCCACGCCGCCGACTACCGCAGCCCACGCCGTCGGGAGTTGCTCGCGCACACGCCGCTATCCGCATGGCGGAGCTCACCGCGACGTCAATAGTCGATCGCATCATCGCTTGAGGCGCCACGATGTAGACGTGGCGACGGTGTGCACGCGGCGGCTTCGCGCTCCCACCCTGCGCGGAAGCGCCGTCAACTTCTGGCGGACGACTTCGTCCAATGCCTCTCTGCGGCCACGGCGAAAGCCATTTCGTGTTCTGCGGAGCTCGAGCGCGTGGCACCGACGCATCATCCATGGTCGCATCCATGGAGACGGCCGCTTCTCCTCCGCCGAGCTCGCTTGCTCGAGGCACTCGGCAGCCCACGAAGCTCGCTTTCGAGGCCCTCGGACCCGGCGTGTGCCCGCAGAACCGGCCATGGCTATGCCCAATGACGGCCTCGTCGCTGCCGTCGGACCGGCGTGCCGCCCGGACCGCCCTTGCGCGGCGCGCCGCCGCCGTCGCGGGCCAGGGCGCGGCACCGCCATGGCCATGCGCCATGCCGCCGCCGGCGCGCGCGCGTCGCAGGTTGCGTGCACCGCTCGTGGCCTGCTGAAGCTGCCGAGTCATTGGCGCGTCGCCGCCGTCGCCGGGCGGACGGCTGTGAACAGCAAGGCGCACCGCTCACCGTTGGCGAGCCGCCGCCGGCCGGGCCTGAGGTGCCTGCTTGCGCAGTGCTCAGGGCTACCAGTGTGTATAGCTGGCATGCCATGAGTTTGCAGCGCCAGAGCACGGGCGAAAATGCCAGCTGCGTGGGTGGAGAGGAAAAGGGCAGGAGGGACATTTCACATGTCCCGCTGACTCGAATCCACGCTGGCACGAGGAGCTAGTGTGCCACGTAAGCAAAAGTGATAAATTTGTAGCTATTTTTTCTCTGGGCTGGCGAAAATATATTGGCATATGTTAAAATGTTATTTGAAGAGATGTCATTTATTATAATGGTAAAAAGTTAAATCTCCCGGCCGGTGGACCTTGTCCCTCACCTATTTCTAATTTTTTTTTTTTTCAACAAAAAAAAATCCTGGGCGAGGGTTTTCCTGCCTCCTTTCAGTTCTTTTTCTTTTTTTTTTCTTTTGCAAAAACAAGATACTTCTGCCCACTGAATAGCATAAGTTTTTTGTTCTCTCTCGAAACATGAAGCGCTACAAAGGTACTCAATGATGTCCACTTATCATATGTTTGTTTATCACTTATCCCAGCCAACTATAGAATAGCTAATAACTGAGCGACCCGCAATCTTATCTTAAGTTGAAAGTTGAAACAACAAGTGGTCAGTCTTGGAGCTCTTTTTTTTACGACTAGTCTCGGTTAAGAGTTTCATTGCATTATTTCTAGGCCTGCCATATCATATATAATGAAATGAAACATGGATAAAACTCTCTCTCTTAATAGAAAGATTCATTATATGGATTTCATAGACATTTAATTTGATTTAGTTGATAATCGTGTCAACATAAAACTCATTTCTTTTCTACCTTTTTAAAAACATTGTCACATCGTCAATAGAGCTCATGTAGCAGCTTATTAAATTCAAATAAAACTCTCAATGAGGCTGGTCTCAGTCTCAGGAACTCTCCGCAACAAAGGACCGGTACATATATGTTTCCTATATATGAAAATTTTCTTATGTATATCCCTTTAACTGCGATTTGGCAGTTGGAACCGAGTAACCGACAGCTTGAGAGGAAAATATAAGACCATGATCTCAGATTTTCCATTTAATGCCCATTCCTTGTCAAAATAAGCTTTGATGTACATGGTAAAACGCCACAGCTAAAAATGTGGAGGAAAAACTATGAAAGTAACACGCGGCTAAAGGAGTAGCAATGGCCTCTCGTGGTAAATCCGAAGCCACTGTGTAGCTGCAACGAAAGCCTTCTCCTCACCAATTGCTATTCTGTTAATTAATCTCCTATTCTGTTGCTATCCAATGTACAAGGATTTCTATAACAAAATATTTCCTGTGTATCCCTGTAGCCTCTAGCCCCCCCTAGAAGCTCAAATAAGTGTATAATTCGCAAACAAGGTCAAGAGATTATTTATGGATTCAGGGTAGAACTTCCTCGCAAACAGGTAGCACGGTCTCTTTGCTCCATTCCATAGGCAGGGCTTCTCTGTAACCACTTTCTGCAGGGCAACAGCAAAACATATAAGCATACTTGTGATTTTTTTTTTATCCATCACTGGGAGAGGAACAGGGGAAGGAGGGAGGTACCTTGCTATCACTAGTGACATGGTGGTTCATGTCAATTGACTGCAGCACAGATCAAAAGGGTTTAAGGTTAGATAAGGATGCTGTGGGCAAATAACCACCTGGAAAATAGACATAAGATGAGCTGGGGAACACATACTGTTATATTCTTCAGAAGATCAAAAGTGACATCCTTTGCCCTGTAAGCTTTCGGATGCCACTTCCCTTCAGACCAGTCAACATGGGTTACAGACCAATTAGCAATTCCATCTGGGTCCATCATCTGGTTGGTACAAATATGCAAATTTGCAACGTCAACAGGGCTGCGGCAGCATTATACAGATGACAAATTAATTTCAGCAACTGAAAGGTCATTGTGTACTGACATGGAATACTGTTGGCAAATAATGTTCATCAGCATAGCAGTTGCGACCATCTTCCATCCCAGGCTGCAAGGAGAACAAATAAGAACATTGATATAGACACATGTTATGTAGCATTGAAATACATGATCGCGAAGTCCAATGTGGTAAAACAAAGAAAAAAAGGGTGAACTAAATCCATCAACGTTAATTTGTAAATTAGTTTAAAAAGAACAAAATGAATACAGGCTAATACAAGGCCACATCTATCTTTTAGATCAAAATATTGTCAGTGCAGATTGGTTGCGGTATACTCTGTCCATTCCAAATATAGGTGTGGTTTGACTTGGGACAATTTCAAAAGATTGAAATGTTCTTTTTTTTTTTTGGCGCCGCAATAGGACAAACATACATTTGGCTCCGATCCTATACTGCATAAAGAAAGCATAGTAAATAAAAGACAAAATCTCACCCTGCAATGAAGCTTGAACTTAGTATAATAAAGACTATCTGCAATAATCATCAACGCATGTTGACGTTTGACTGAGAACCACTGAAATAGTTAAAGTCAAAACAAACGCTTCCATCAAAATGACCGCAGATTAACTAAATAAATAAAGCAAAGATGATTGCAAGATTACCTGTGAACCCTTCCTAAAATCAGTCTCTGTAACCTCAGGTAACATATTCTGTGAATATCTAAAATTTCCATGTGGTCCAGGATCATAAAAGCTGATAAAAAAAACAAAATATGATGTAAGCTGAAGGAATAATAGCCCAACTCAAAACCCAGCTGGGAAATCAACGAGATCATCCAATGTAAAAGTAGAACCAAGAGCTATTAGGTAGACTCCAATTATAGATTTATAGTTAGAGATGAATTTGAGATAAAGAAACAAATTACCAGTCAATAAAACTGAGATTTGCCCCCATCAGGTAGTCATATACATAATCAAAATTGTGCAAAGGTACACAGCTGCAAACACACAAAAGAATATTAAAGACCTGAAAGAACAAATGCGAAATAAAATGGGATGAAAGCAAAACCATGATATGTACCTATCAGATAGCAAAACAAAATGCTGATTGTCAATGTCTTGTAGAGCATTTGCCAGCAACCTCCTCTCAGCATCAACCATAGAAATTTTACCCCAAGTTACCTGCGATGGGAACAAGATCATTCAGGTTATCACTTGTTTAGCTTCTGATGAGTTCTTACAAGTATCAATCTATGAAGCATAGGAAAGAACTTTGTCAAAAACATAGTGCTGAAATTAATCTTTTTTTTCACATAGCTAACTCTTCATGTGTAGAATAAAAAGAGACCAACCTAGGAGGAACTAACTAACACTGTTAATACTCCCTCCATTCCAAATTATAAGTCGCTTTGACTTTTTTGGTACATCCATTTTGCTATGCATCTAGATAAATAATATGTCTAGATACATAGCAAAATAGATGAACTAAAAAAGTCAAAGCGACTTATAATTTAGAACGGAGGGAGTAAGAAATACTGAAATAGGCACACAAATTCAAGTCAAAGAGGACTTGAACTTGGGTAGTGACCAGTGGGTGTGTACACCACCTCCCACCAATTGAGCTCAGTTCCTTCTTCATGTGGAACTAGGGTCATTACCTTTTCACTGTGTATCTCTCGACCAACAAATATGGGACTGACATGTTCTGGCTTCTCCCTTGAGGCATGAATATATATTGTATACCTTCCCTCATGGCCCTACAGAAATAACAGGAGGTCAAGGAGAAACAGACTTTTAAATATAGACGATGACATGATGGATTATGATATTCCTTCAAAGATTAATGGGCCTTGGCATGTACCTTTAAACAAAATGCTCAACAGAATTTTTTGAAACAAAACATAAGATCAGTCTTGCTTGTTATCTTGAATGCCTGTTAAATTCTAAAATTTACATCCTTCCTATAGAAGTATCAAATTTGAATTTTCTTTTCTCGAACACGCAGGAGAGCTGCGCATCATTGTATTAAGATAGGAGAAAAAAAATATGAGATGCAAAGCTGATTGTGCGCAGAGAAAAAAAAAGAGCAAAACGAATCAACCTACACACACAGCCAGCAGCAGAGCAGTACAGAGACACACATGCCACAAGCAAATGAGTAACAACCACACACACACACACACACACACAAGCATGTCAAGGCCTAGTTGTACTGAAAGAAAACTGTTATACTACAAGATTAATGTTTGAATCTCGAAGGTAGTTCTACTGAAAGCCTAGTTGTATAGCATAGACCAATATCAATTATGAAAGACAATAGCGCATTCACTTTGCAAGAGCTATGATTAAAATGCATGAATCTACCAACAGAGCAAACAGGGGATGTTTACCTCAAAGAACTTTTCCCACAATCTTTCAAATGGCAATGTCCCCGGAGTCAAGAACATGAAAGCTATTTTCGAATTCTTGGACCGAACAGGAGGTGTTGTTAGGATCTGTCTGAAAACAACACGCGAGGCCCTCTCTTCATCAGTCAATTCCCTGGCAGGCTCCGCAGGAAGCCTTCCAGGAAGCCAGTCTCTCACAGGAGAAGTGTAATGCGGGGGAGGATACAGATAAGCCCAGGCTAGTGCGATGAAGATAAAAGCTGCAACGGCAAGTATCCACGCTCGCCTTTTTGGAGCTGCTCTCGGGCGAGGAAGTGGAACGGCCTTCATGTCCTTGACGCCTAACTGCCAAACTTGATGCAGCTTCATATATTTAAGCTCCACAACTCTCATTACTCTCGGACTCCACCAGTATCAGTGAAATATGGTCGGCAGAAAATTTCCTCTCGCTTCTACAAGCCCGTCTGCAATAGTATAACAGTTTGGTTGATCACATAAACACCCGGTGATTTTTACAGAGGAATCGATGTTAATGGGGGAAATATCAGTCAGTATGCACTAGTTAAATCAAATCAGATCCGATAACTCGAATACGAATGCTAGTTTACATTAGGGTTTGGGTGGGTGCTCGGTTCCGCGCATCATTAAGGGACGAGGAGGGTAGGCATACCTGGTGGGTGCTTGTCGCCGGCGAAGACCTGGCGAAGGGCCCGGCGAGGGCCTGGGCAGGCGGCGCGCGCGCCAAGTCGTCGCTGGCAGAAAGAAAAGGCCACGCGAGAGCGCGCGCGCGCGGGGGAGAATAGCAGAGGGAATCAGGAATCAAGTCGTGCCAAGGACGAATGCACAGATTGATTTATATGTGCCTGGGGTTCTGGGAAGGGGGACGCGGCCGGCGCGGTGGCTGTGACCCGCGACCGCGATGAGGAAAACGGAAAGGAGAGAGAGACGAGGAAAGGGACGAGGCGGTTTGTTGGTTTGTTTTGATACTCCACGAGAGGGCGCGCCAAAGGTGCTGTTGCCTTTCCCTCGTTTCGTTCTGAAATTTTAATTTGGCAATGCGTGTTCAATATTTTTGTTATTTTTTTAACAACAGTATAAATGGGTTGTCACGATTGTTCCTCCACTCCTGTTTCCGGATGTCTACTTGCTACCCCCAGCATCCTCCAAGATTTATTTGATTAAATTTTTTTATACTATTGTCATGATTCTTATTCCACCGCTATTTCAAGATTTTGTAATTGTACATCCAACATCCTCTAAAGTTTATGATTGGGAAATTGATTGGACAGCCAGGATTCTTCCGCGATTGCTATTTTTCTACTTTAAGGATTGTCAACGTCCTTCGGTGTTTTTATAATTATATGTGTTAGAAGAAAAGTGTGGATGGATGAAAAATGTCTATCTGTATTGATTGATGAACATTCCAATGGGCAGTTGCCTGTTGGCCAAAAGGTGTCTCTGCAGTGAACCATCATTAGCAGTTGCTAATAACAAGATTAACTAATTGATCACAATTTATTTAATCTTAACACTCTCCCTGGATCAATTAGTTCCCGTAGACATCTTTGTTTGTTCATCAGTCATCATCTTGAAGCTTTGAAAAACCATGTGGGAAAAAAACAAAGTATAACGATATACCTGGCAAAACTTCTTGAAACCCAGTGAAAAAAATAAGGAGAAACACCATGATATATATATATATATATATATATATATATATATATATATAACTCCAATGTTAATAAACTCTTTAGGTGTCCCAAAGACATAGTCTAAATACAATTTGATCAAAGATCAATATGTCATAAATATTATGTGAGAAAACTCCAGAAGAGTAAAACTCATATAAAGGAAAAGAGTATAATGTGATGTTGAAACAGGTTATATTTTAGAGAGGTTCTCCCTCTGATTCTTGCAAATCTCTAAGTCTTCTCGTACCAATGCCCTCAACACATTTACGGAATGTGGAATATGGTAGAGATTTTGTGAATAAATCTGCTAGATTGTCACATGACTTAGTTTGCAAGATTTCAATTTCTCCATTCTTTTGGAGTTCATGGGGGTAGCACAACTTGGGAATAATATGCTTAGTCATATTACTCTTAATATAACCTGATTCTATTTGTGTAACACATGCCGAATTATCCTCAAAGATAATTGTCGGTGTCTCAAATGCATCAATACCACGTGATTGTATTATGTGGTTTATCATTCTGCGAAGACATAGGCATTCGCGTGATGCTTCATATAAAGCAATTATTTCAGAATAATTGGTGGAAGTGGATACCAAAGTATGCTTTGAAGACTTCCAAGATATTGTTGTTCCATCTTGCAAGAATACAAAGCCTGTTTGTGATCTGCCATTGTGGGGATCTGATAAATAACCAGCATCCGTATATCCTAACAAAACTGGATCTTGATTTTTACTATAGAATAATCCAAGATCTTTAGTGCCATTGAGATATCTTAAAATGGTTTTAACTCCTACCCAATGACGTTTGGTTGGTTCGGCACTATGTCTTGCCACCAAGTTTACCGCGAATGCAATATCCGGGCGGGTGCTATTAGCAAGATACATTAGTGCTCCAACGACACTAAGATATAGGACATGTGGTACCAATATCTCTTTTTCTTCTTCCCGTGGTCTAAAAGGATCCTTTTCAACATCTAAGAATCTCACTGCCATCGGGGTTTTTGTTGGATATGACTTGTCCATATTGAATTTCTCCAATACTTTCTGGACATGGGCAGCTTGGTATATAAATATACCAGAATGTAAATGCTCAAGTTGTAAACCCAAACAGAATTTGGTTTGACCCAAATATTTCATTTCAAACTCCGTCTTTAAATGATGACGTGCTTCATTAATATCGGGTTCATTGCCAATGATATTCAGATCATCAACGTACACCGATATGATACAAAATCTTGTTGATGATTTTTTAATGAAAACACATGGGCAGTCATCATTATTTGTGTATCCCTTCAACTTAAGGAATTCACTTAACCGATTGTACCACATTTGGTCCGATTGCTTTAAGTCATATAATTACTTCTGCAACTTGACGCAATATATGTTGCGATTTGCCTTGGGATTTGGTATATTGATTCCATCAGGAACTTTCATGTATATCTCAGAATCCAATGACCCATACAAGTATGCGGTCACTACGTCCATCAACTACATAGATAGACGATTTTGTACTGCCAGCGATATATCGGAATGTTATTCCACTCATTACCGGAGAGTAAGTTTTGTTGAAATCAACGCCAGGTCTTTGCGTAAAACCTTGTGCCACAAGACTTGCTTTATATCTCACCACTTCGTTGTTTTCGTTCCTTTTACGGACGAAAACCCATTTGTATCCCACAGGGAAAGATACCAGGGGGTGTTGGAATTACAGCTGAAAACACTTCCCTTTTATAAAACAAGGCAATCTCTGTTTCAATTGCTACCTTTCACTTATTCCAGTCCGAGCTCTTCTTGCACTCCATCATAGACTTAGGATCTAAATCAGTTTGAAGGATATTTGCAATTTGTTCAGAGAAATAAATGTCGACTATTATGGACTTACGATTATAAGACTCCAGTTTCTACGAAATTTATAGCGATTTCGTCTACCCTTAAAGATTAATCATGACTTCCTGAAACTATGGATCTATGGTCTTCCGATGTTTCAGCCTCAGTGTTTATGCACATAACTGAGCTAGATTGTGAATCACTTCTATCCACAGGATATTATATGTCATTTAGGTGTCTTTCAACCAAAGGTTGAGTTGCATTTACAGTCTTCTTTTACTTGCCAGCAATCACATCTTGCCTCTTGGAAGTGCTTCTCCTCCTCTTTTTGCTAATTTAGGGGTGCGTGGTTTTATTAGGTACCTCCACTCTTTTAGGCACATTCCTTACATAATGGAGAGACTTTGTAACACCTTTATAATCAGAGAAAGCGTCTGATAGATTATTTGCAATATTTTGCAAATCAATAATTCTTTGAACTTATAGTTCAGTTTCTGTAGTATGTGGATCACAAAATAGAATGATTTCTGCATTCCAATCAATTTTCTGTCATTTCTTTTGGTGCAATTCTCCCCCTAATGCTGAGAAATGATCCTCATTAAAAATACAATCAGCGAATTGGGCTGTAAATAGATCCCCTATTAGAGGTTCTAAGTACTTAATGATCGACGGAGATGAATATCCCACATAGATCCCCAGTTTCGGACCCATCGATGTCTCGCTGAGGTGGTGAGATGGGTACGTATACTACGCACCCAAACTTACGTAAATGGGAAATACTCAGAGGATTCTCACATACTAACTACAAAGGGGATGTTTCGTGATATGTAGTTGGTCGTAGTTGGATCAGGTAGGCAACGTGCAGAACTGCATGACCCCAGCACGACGTAGGCAATTTGCAATTCATCAACAAAGGTCTTGCAATGAGCTTGATTCTTTTAATCAATGATTCAACCAAACCATTTTGAGTATATACATATGGAACATAATGCTGAACCTGAATTCCCAATGCTATTCATTAAAAGTATGGGATGAGAATTCAGCAGCATTGTCCATTCGGATAGATTGAATCCGATGTTCAGGATAATGTGCCTTCAACTTAATAAGTTGGGCCATTATTTTGGTAAAACCATGGTTGTGTGTTGATAAAAGAAACACGTGAGACCATTAGTAGATGCGTCTATCAATACCATGAAGTACCTGAACGGCCCCGACAATGGTTGGATCGGACCACAAATATCTTCTTGAATTCTTTCAAAGAATTTGAGTGGTTTAGCTCGAATTTTAAGATATGATGGTCTTAAAATTAATTTCCCAGTTACACAAGCAATACAACAAAAATCTTTATTTTGAGAAATTTTTGCATTTTTCATATCATGACCAATAGAATTGCCGATAATTTTTTCATCATCCCTATTCTAGGGTGCCCAAGTCAATCATGCCAGTTCGGAATGTATCAACATCTTGGAAAATTATCTTATAAGCAACATGTTCTATGGGCTTTATGTATGTAAAGTACAATCCAGTTTGGAGTGAAGAAATCTTTTCACAGATTTGTTTGCCATATCCAGTAAGTTTGGTAAAGAGAAGGAATTCCTCTTTATTATCCATATGTGTTTTCACATGGAAACCATTCTTACAGACGTCTCTAAAACTTAGAAGGGTACGAGTCGAGTCGGGATACAACAATCATCCTCCATCGTAATATGTGTACCCATAGGGAGAGTAATAGTGGCTCTTTCTGAACCAACTATTAACGCATCGCGACCAACGATGGTCATAATATTTTCTTCTCTTTTCTTAAGAGTCTGGAAATATTTCATCTCTCTAAGTATAGAGTTTGTGGTACATGAGTCCACAAGACATAATTCTT